TCTCGTTCAACAAATTTCTTGCTCGGATTACCGTGCGCTTCAACATACAATTCTGCATATTTAATTAGATCTTCAAAATTCTTAACTTCATGTTCTTTTAAGAATAGAATCATACTCTTATCACACGCATTCATGTATTGTTCCATGAGCACTAAATCCATCAATTCATCATACGACTTCTCTCCCCCTGACAGATCAATCCATCGTTTCAAGTAGTTCTTCAAGCGATTACCAAACTGCATACCGGATTCACCTTTGAAAAATTTAGCATTTCTAAATCTAGAGCGATAACCTTCAGCCGTACACTGAAAACATTTGAGCAAGGCTCCTTTAACAGAATCATAGTTTTTTACTACGGTGGGAGATAAATGCTGATAAGCCTCTAATGCTTTTCCTTGCAAAAGTGACGATAGACTAACAGCCCATACATCTTGATCCCATCCTGCACTAGTTACAGGATATGCATCGATACTGTCTATCTGATCGTTAAACACTGGTAGTTTTGGGAACTTCGTGCACACACAGATTCTGTTTTCAATAGTCTTTCACCACCTTCGTTCAGTTTCGCTTTTTCAAGTTCAAGTCTTAGCTTTTCTAGTTCATATGCTCGCTGTCTTTCTAGATTTTGCATTTCCATTTCTTTCCAAGCTTTTTCCTTTTTCTTTCTCTTTCTCATGCTCGTTCATCGCGTTCATACTGCTTTTCTTCCTTCAGTTCTTGTTCTCTTGTTAACGCGAAGTTTCTCAAATCTCTCTTTCCAGTCCGATCTCCTTACCTAACTTAATTATATCTCCTAATGGCGCCATCTTTCAAATTTTACTTTAGCTTGAACACACAATCCATATTATTCTATCAATAACAAAGTACTCATTACGCCGGTCCCTGTTCGGGCGCCATAATTGTGAGGATGGTGATTGTTATAATTTGAGGGTTTGCCGGCACAGTTAAGACACTGTTTTTCTTGAATGAGAGAAATTTGTAATTAATGGATTGCATAGAAAGACTTCATTTATTTAGTATTTATTATACTAGAAATAAATATATAAATTAAATAAACACGAAATTAAATAAAACACGCAAGGAAATATTAATTGTTCATAGGGCTATAATGTTCAGACGATTTACTCATTTTCATTGTTCACTACTTCACTGATCACTGTTCATAGTTCACCGAGCTATATATATTTCAATGTTCATTGCATTTCATTTCATTTCATTCCGCACTTAGATTCTGGATCAGCATCTTCATTCTTCATGCTTGATCATCATGCAATGTCGGTAGTATAGCTTGGAATAACAACCCACAGTTCTAAAAATAACAAAATAAAACAACTACAATATTTGACCATTTTTTCATACCACAAGGTAGAAATCAAACTAAATTATTTGTCATCAACTAATGTGAACATATTATATACCTTTAACCTAATTCATTTATCCTATATATACAAAATAATCACAAATCACTTTACATATCTATAAGACATACCTTATAGTTTAAATTATAAAATGTCAGTAGCCGACGTGATATTTGTGTGGCCCACAGCTCGGCCCACACCACTCCGCCCAGTTACCTTGACGGCCTCTGCTCAAAAGAGCGCTCACCTTGCTTAGGCCTACCAATACAACTACCCCAACCTTGCCCCAAACAACGGTGACGTCATGCACGCAAACTGTCATTACACTAACGATTTCCAGATTAGCACATGAGATGGCATGACAATATATATATATATATATATATATATGCATATATGTATATATATGTATATATATAATATATATATATTATATATATGCATATATGTATATGTATTCATAACACACACACACACACACACACACACACACACACACACACACACACACACAATATATATATATATATATATATATATATATATATATATATATATATATATATATATATACGAATATGTATATGTATATATGCATTTTTGTGAATACATGTGCATTTGCATATACATGAATATGTATATATATATATATATATATATATATATATATATATATATATATATATATATATATATATATATATATATATATATATATATATATATATATATATATATATATATATATATATATATATATATATATATATATAATATATATATATTGTAGGCGCCCTTACTGCCCTTCCAATAGTCTATAGGATTATTTGAAACTCCCTGTTGCAGCTGTCCTTTATTTCTATCATTCCTTCACAGCTTACAGCACAGGTTAACTTGTTACTGTAACAATCAGACAATATTTCTTTAAATTCTTTTTCAATTCATCATAACTGAGTTCTCACACAATAATCAAAGTTTACCAACAATATCCTAATTCTCTTTAACAATATCAATTTCACAGCACATTAACATATTTGCAATATCCTGACAAAATAATATGATCAAAAACATGTGAAATCTAACATATCCTTCCATACTTTCTATGGCAATAGGCACCTCTTCTAAGAAATTCCAAACGGTCAATAAACTAAATCGTAATATTTCTAAGTGCTGTCAGTATTACGCCTTCACAAATAGAACATTTAGAATGAGCAGATCCCTGGTTCCTTGGCAAAAAGCATGATTTCCTCGCTCCTAACGTTAAGTCTTATTTATAAACATATAATTCCATTTCAAGCAAGATATCAAGACTGTAATATTAGAAATTTCCATAGCAAAAATAAACGATAAGCCTATTTTCATAATGTTATACAAAACATGGCTTAACATCAAATACAAAAAACTGAAATGCCACGTACTTACATCCAGTGTTGCCAAATGTTCCTTACTGTACAATTCACAAAATATCAGAAAACAAACGCTATACTTCTTTTAGCGTTTACATATATATATATATATATATATATATATATATATATATATATATATATATATATATATATATATATATATATATATATATATATATATATATATATATATATATATATATGTGTGTTGTGTGTGTGTGTGTGCGCGTGCGTGTGTGTGTGTGTGTGTTGTGCATATATGTATGAATATATATACATATAAATGCATATACAGATACACATTTATATGTATATATACATATATACCAATATGCATATATACATATGTATATATACACACATATATGCATAAACGTATATACATATATATACACACATACATATATATGTGTATATGAAAAATCTCGCAATATTACACTGGTGGCAGCAGTGGGATTGTTTTTGTTTCTTGTTCTTATGAAAATCTTTAGAGTCGTTTAAGAATTTTCATTGGTGGCAAAATTAGTATCTACATATGAGGTATTGTTATTTTAAAAAGTGATTATTGGGCATGGCATATATTGTTCAAGAAGCGTTGGCAAATATAGGCGAGTAGAGCATAGGCATGGGCACCAACATAAGCAAAGCAGTTAAGGAAGACTCGCCCTTGGGAGAGCAACCAGCAAGGGCGGTCGAAGGGCATGTTCCAGCTGAACCGGCTATCTCATGAGCCAGGACAACGCCATGAAGTTCAATTATTAAACCTACCAAGAATGACTGGGCTATCCTGAAAAACTGCCAATGGCGCAGTCATCTGATTGCAGTTGACATTAGTAAACTGGCAAGGGAAGAAAGGTAGCTACCCTTCTATGCCCCTGTTTGGCCCCAAGGTTATCGTTTACGGGCGAATGTTCAACGGGACAGTGATGTGGTTAATAACATGTTGTGGCCAAGTACGTGGAAAATAATATATTGGAAATGTGATGACACAAAGAGAGATTGAGTATATAGCGATGTAGCCGCATGAGTCTCCATTAGAACATTTTTGCTGAAAGTTACTATTAAAAGCATGGTTAGTACTACTGAATATTGGTAAGTCGCTCCCTGAAATTAGCCAGTGTCACTTCCGAAGGTGCCTTAGTATGCCCATTGCCAGATTATGTTCATGTAAAGATATGTTTATTGATTTAGTATGTAACTGATATTGAATTATTGACTGATGTTTCAGTTTGTTTCATATATGTATTGTTTCTTCTGAAACAATACATATATTGAAATTACTTTTTTTCAATAGGCACACTAAATTCACTATACTGATATTCTACAGAGGGAACCCATGGCGAGATTGTTATTTATTCGACTTTTAAAAGATGTGTTGGTTCTAAATATAAAGATTTATGGACTCCACCGAAACATTTTTTTACATATTTTTATATTTTAAAGGTATATCAATGTAGCAAAATATTTGTTATAACAAATAGAGTCAATTATGATATTTATAAATAGTTTGTTTGAATGTTAATTCAGGGGGGAAGGTGAGAAGTGGAGCTATGTTACAACCGTGTCAGACTGCCTCCTGCTCTCACCCCGAACACAAGTACGTAAGTGCCGGGTACTAAAAATCTTGTTTTTCCCAGAGATTGAAAGTTGTAATGTCTGATAAATGAATTTATATAATTAAAGAACCCCTGTTCATTGAATTGCTCTAACCTCGAGCACATAGATAGGAATGTTTAATATAATTTATAGCGAAAATAACACGCCATGATACCTAGTTGGGGAACAGTTATTTGTTTATTTTGGCCCGTGGATACAGCAAAGGAATTAGTCAAAGGAGACAGTTCCAGTGGTATCAAGGAATAGGTTCAGAATTGAAGGCTCAGAACCATGACCTCACACCAAAACTGCCCCCGGAGATGGAGGTCTACCAGAGGCTTGGCCAATACGGAGATGATACTTAAGATAATACAGAAAATCATAAAATGAGCTTTGAAATATAACGTGCAAAAGGCACCAAAGTAAAACAACACACACACACACACACACACACACACACACACACACACACACATATATATATATATATATATATATATATATATATATATATATATATATATATATATATATATATGGAAGAAAAACCCACAATGCACAAACTATATTTATTGATGAAAGTGAGACAACAGTTTCGGAATCGTCCTCGATTCCATCTTCGGGTCTGAAGAGGCAAGGGAGACGAAGCGGTATAAGAGGGAAAGGAGGAGAAGCACTCGGGAATCACGGGGCGGGTGAGGACAGGAGAACGGAAGCGAAGGGAGGTCAGATCAGGTCGAAGGATCAGACGGTCTATGTGACGGGTGACCGGCATAAGGGAGGAGACGAAGGATGTGGGAAGCGAGGAGGCTGTCGGCAGGAGAGAAACCGCTGTTCAAGTTGAAATTGGGCAGCAGTTTAATGAGAAGATTCCACCAGTCTGCGGGCATGGACATCAGCGGAAGGGAAGAGAATGCGAGCAGCTTTCCAGTCCATCTGATGGCCAGTGTCCCACTGATGGCAGAAGAGGGCGTTGTTGCTATGTCCCCTGGATACAGCGTACTTATGCTGAGACAGACGCTTAGTAAGACTGGCGCCTGTTTCACCAAAATACTGCTGATCACAGGAGGCACACGGAACAGCATAGGTGCCCACCTTCGAGGTAGAGGGAGGGCAGGTGTGAACCAGGTTACGACGGAGAGTATTCACCTGACGAAAGGAGAGTCTGCAGTTGAGAGACTGCAAGGGCCGACGGAGGGAGCAGATCTCCTCAGTGTAAGGCAGGCTGAGGACAGGCAGGTGAGGAGACTCATTGGGAGGGGAGTCATGGTAGAAGGTACGTCGCGCCCTGGATAACGCGACGTCTAGGACATGGCGAGGAAAGCCCAGTTTGGAGAACGAACGACGCAGGAAGTCGATCTCTCCATCCAGGTACTGGGGGTCACA